AGTCCTAGTGGAGGTTGGGGCCTCTTTGTTTAAACAGTTAAAACAGACTGTAGGTTCTTTTTAGTGAAGAATATGGTCACTTTAAAAACAGCAGGAAGCAAGCTTTCTAGCTCACCTGTGCTGGCAGAGAAAAGTCTGGGAGCTGCAGGTTTAGAAAAGGCGGCAGCAAAAGGTACTGGAGGGGTATCAAGTGGTGGGAAGCTACAGTCCTATTTCAGATGAAGTGTCCGAAAGAGGAACACCACTGGTAGGTGCTAGCTTTTAAATACACAAACCTCATAGCCAACAGTGTGTCAATAGCCGATTACAAATTTAGTTTGAGATCATAGTTTGGCTGTGGCTAAATTAGATGAATAAATGAATGTGTCACTGGGCTGACAAAAGATGATTTATTTTGAGCACAATGTATCTGGAATTGGAAATGCTTAAGCTGAATAAAACACATGCAGGTGGCTAATAGTCACTTGAGTATGGTGAGTACAGGCTAGTTCTTTAATTCTATTTATTTTTCTTTTTTCCCCAAGGAAAAATTGTTTCTTTCAGGTACTTCTTACTAAGTGAAAGTGACTTCTTACTAAGTCTTAGACAATGCAGGGTATTAGCCAAGTATAGCTAAAATTTCATCTTCCTATTCGTAATCGTAAAGCTAATTTTACCTGCTTTCTAGGTTTCTCCAATCTCTCTTGGAGCTGCTTGTTAAGTTACTATTAATAATTTGATCTATTGTGTAAAGAGGCATGTAAATCCTTTTAACTGTTCATTAGGTTTTGAAAAAAGGGAGCCTATTGCTCAGCAAAACTTACCAGAAAAGAGGGAGAAGTAAATGTTAACCTGGGTAACAAAAGCGAGACAAAGGCAGCTTGTAGTAAATCTCGGCAGGTGGTGTCAACATTTGTGTTGAAAAGCCAGATGCAGCCAGATGGAAAATTGCATCTTTAACCCCTGAGGTCATAATGACATGTCATCACTTCATTTGATCCCCCTGCTAAGTGAGCTTATCATCCACCCTGCTGTCACTTCTGTTATTACTTTCATTTCCATAATAAAATTAAATTTAATTTGTCTGCTTTGCATGCCTCTTTCTTTTAGGTCAGAGCTTTTACAAACCCCTATTATACATATGGCAGCCTCTCCAAGGAGAAGTTTGACTGAATTTGTGTTATAAGTCTGAGCTTTTCTCCATCTTTCACACCTTACTTTGAGCACGAGGAGAGGAGGGAGAGGAGGAGTTTTGGGGAAACCCTCATTGTTTCATAGCTGCAGTATGGGCTGCTAAGAGCAGGGGAGTCTGGGTGTGGGTTTGCTGCAGGAGAACTTTTCCCCTTCTGCCAGAGGGGAGTTACATGTCTGTGACCCCATAGGAGTTGCGTCCTTTATAGAAGTCAAAGTATTTACCCGCTGACTCTTGCCATGCCGAGGTTCCTTTGTGCAGCCTGATGTCTTTCTCCAGTGTTTTGTATCCCCCTTTGTGCCAGTCTCTATTCATGCTGCTTTTTGTTGTCCACTGTTGTACATATGTGCCTTGTGGTAGCTGAGCTGTGTGATACCTGCTGGCCGTAGTGTGAGTGGCTAGGTGGAGGGCTGAACAACTTCCTGGAGGCCTCCTCCAGGCAGGCAGTTCAGTGCATGCTGTCCTGCGTCACTGCATAAGAGAACAATTAAGCCCATGCCGATTTTAAGTATTTTTACCTAACATTTAAATACATGCTTAGTTTGAAATGTGTAACTTTACTAAATGTGTATCTTCTGTGTTCCTGGATTTGAGGTGAAGCTGTTTATGTTCCTGGCAGTTTCCAAAGGGTTAGTCCACTTATTTATGCACAGTATACTTCTCAAAGTTTTATGGGTATGAGGAATGCAGGAGAACAAGATGTTTGATCCCATGTAATTTGATTATATTTTTCATTATCACTGTTTTTCTACTTGTTAACTTACCAGCTCACCTTTTATTCATCTGTTCTATTGCAAAAAAATTATAACATTATTTGTGTTGTGTATTGTAGTAGCTTCAACTTGCACAGTAAAGGAGATCTGTATGTTGAGAGAGATGACCTGTCTCAGTAAGCCCTTTGGAACTGTATCTGCAACTTGATTTGTTATACTGGTATATAGACCAGTTTAGTGTATGCATGCTCTCTGTACACGTGTAAATATACATGCTCCACAACCTAAGACAAATGTAATCGTGCTAATTTGGATGACTTCAGGTGTAACATGCCAGTTCAAGCATGGACTGTTTACTTTAAATAAAAATCGGGATTCCTGGTGGCATTTATACAGTCTCTGTAGAAGCTGCTGTCTTTATTGGAACTAACTAAATTAAAGTGAAGATATTCCTAAGCATGTTATGTCTGCTGCTCTTGATTTGCAGGTGAGACATACCCTAAAAGATAGGCTAGCTTCATAGGTCTGTTTTCCTTTTCATCTCTTTGTTATAATCGAAACCTAGTCCTTGTTACAACATAATTACCTAGTCTGAAGCCAGCAGGGAGTTGCTGCTTTATGTGTAGGATGTGAAGTTCTCTAAATGTAGGATTAATTACATTCACAGCATGTCATTGA